AGTCAGGATGCTGAAGGAGGGAGGGGAGTCTGGATCTGGAAGCAGGAGCATTCTGAGGGCTTCTGAGCAGCTTTTCCACTGGTGGTGAAGAGGGTGGTTCCCTAGAACTCTTTTTTTTTAAAGCATTTGTATACGATCACTTACTTACTTACTTACTTATTTATTTATTTATTTATTTATTTATTTATTTATTTATTTATTTATTGGTACTGAGGATAGTACTCTGGTTCTTCCGCTTGCGAAGCGGGAACCACTGAAATCCCCAGCCGTCCCCTAGCATTCTGACTGCCCATAGAATGGTCCCATCTTTCCCACTGTTGGTACCAGGGATAGAACTCCCTGTCCTTGTGTTTGCGAGGCAGGTGGCAGAACCACTGAGCTAAATCCCTGGCCCTCCCCTGAGGTTATTTTTGTGAGTCTCATCTCTAGCATAGGGCAAAGAGCCAGAGCAGGGGGTAGCCAGGCTCAAATCTCATGATTTCCGAAGTTCCAGCACGCTGCATCATCACAAGCTCCTCTGGAAGAAGGGAGATGCAGGCCATTATCCCCAACTCATGGCAAAAACGTAGAGGCCAAGAGCAGGTGTATTTTATTTTCTCTGTTGTTGAGAAATAACTTAGTGTAAGTGCCCAAAATCTGACTCAGCTTTGATTAAAACTCAGTATCTGCCGGTGGGCAGGAGTTTTTCATAGGGACCTTGAGAAAATGAGAAGTTCTTGAATATATAGATATTTATTTTTAAAGATATTTATATCTGAAAATGCAAATCAGAGCATCGCAAGAGTGGCTGAGCAGCTGTTTTCTTAGGTTACACATCAAATTTTAAGAATAAACAACATCAGGACCTTAGGGTTCTGTTTAAACCTATATAGTTTTGGCTGCTCAGAAAATAACTCCAAAATGGTGGTTTATATGTTCTTCATGCAGAACCAGTGTATTCAAGGAGAGAAGTAAGCTGTGCTGATCAATGACTTTGATCAAAGCAGAGAAATTTGAAACAAATTTGCAGATGATGCACAACTTCCAAGGAGACAGTATTTTGCTATGTAGTCCATGCTGGCCTTGAACCTGTTTACATAGACTAGTCTGGCTTTGATCTCACAGTCCTCCTGCCTCAGCCTCCCAAGTATTGGGACTACAGCCATATGTCACCATGCCAAGCAAAACAAGAAAAATTTTTATCTAGTGAAATGTCCAAGGCTTTCTTTCTTCCTTTTGAAGTGACCCAGCATTGTTAGTATCTTATAACTCTGAATATAGTTCACTAAGAAACTAAGAAAAATTTAAAGGAATAAAAGAAGATACATCCAAAATATAAAGAACTGTGAGAATGTTATTATGAATATGTAGCTGAAAATGTTCAGAATCATATATGAACATGGAATTTAATAAGTAACAAGGAAAATTAAAAGTTTAAATGAAGGGCTTACTTTGGAAAGACAAGAATTCCTTTTTTTAATTAGGGAAGTAATTATTGTTATCTATTAAAGTAATATTTATGCCAAAGTTCTTGATTGTGGGAGTTGACCAAAAATTAAAGTTATTCATAAACTCATGTATTCAGGAAGTTCCTTTTAAGTCATATATCTTTGCAAAATAAATTCTTCCAGTGAGGTTTTTAAGTATAAAAGCTCAAAGTTACAATAATTCTGAAGTTATAATTAAATGTTATTTTAAATACCCTATGTAAAACCAGATTGCTAATATTAAGAGAAATACCACTGGATTTGAATCCTAGTAAAAGCAGTTCCTACTTATGACGTTTAACCTAAGCCACTTAGCTTCCCCAAGCTTTAGTTTCTTTATATGAGGCTGCTATATTTGCTTCATATTTCTAATCTATAAAGTGAAGCTATTATAATAATATTTGCTTTGTTTTCCGTTCAAGGCTATTGGAAAGAATAAATATGTAAACATTCTTTATAAAATGGTAGTATTAAATGTACATTTTAAATTTTATGTTTAAATTTCTTATTTCTTCTTCCACCACAAAAATACATTGCTTAATGATAAAATAAGAAAATGCAAATCAATGGGTAAATGCTCATTCAGAAAGATAAGTGTAGTGAATATTTATATACTATTTTCAAAAAGTTTAAGTTAATTTTTATTTCCTCATAAAATTCGAGTTTCTAAGTAAGTTTATTAACTGAAAATAGCAAAGAATAACACTCTTATTCTATTAAATTTTTAATAGTTTCAAGGCCTGTTGATTTAAAACTGGTAACCTTGAAAAATGTATACTTGCTTACAATGTACATTTACTGAAAGATGTTGAATTTGTTTCTTTAAAGTTGTAACTTATGATTGCTATAGGGATTTGATCTTATTCATCAACCTTGTGATAATTAACCAGTTTCTATGACCTTATTTATCAAATTATAATGAACTCAACCAGTATAAAACATTCTCTTTAGAATTGGGAATGCACCTATTGGCTTTTCTCTTTGAAAATTTTACCTTACAGATAAAAAGTAAAAGTGTCCAGTAAATTAATTTTTAAATACACATAGAATTTATTTATTTTATTTTTCGCAGAGTCTTAGATTTTATTGATGTCATGAGGCCTGCCTATTCATGAGAGCAAAGCTATATTTCTAAGATACCTGCAATGGGTTCAGTTTAGCCATAGTGTGTAGAATATTTTTACAACTTTATATACTGAGCTCTCTTTCAACATCTCCCCATCTTTCACTACATTCTAACTCATACTGCATCAGGAACAGTGGAGAAACCACCAGAAAAATTGTTTTTTGTTAACCTGTGACATCTGGTGATAGCTAATACCAAACACATATAGAATTTAAGTTTTCCATAATATCAGTATATTTCCATTCCTGGACCCAAGAGTATTGATTTTCTCCTGCTGTTCTGGCTCATTCTTGGGAGCCTTCAAGCTCATCAGTTTCCCCAAGAAGTTTTTCCCTTCTGCACTGCAAGAGGACCCTGCCTCTGTACTCCCACAGCATTCTCAGCCTGTCTCTATCACTTTATGAAGTCAGATTAAGACTCCGTGATGATAGTGTTCTTGGCATCTTTGTATCCTGTACACCATGTCCGACGGCCAAGACAGTCATTGAGCTGCAATGGAAGCAGCATCAGAACTTCTTGGTACACTACTTTTCCCATCCCTGCTCCAAGCAGGCTTTGAGTATACAGACCCTCGGTTAGAAGTGTGATAAGATGAGCTGACAGGGGCACCTAGTGACCGTAATAGCTGGTGAGATCTGGTGTGATGCTCTTCTGACCTTAGAGTTTCATGGAAGGTACATTGGTTGCTACTCTCTTATCTACCAACAGGTCTCTATAGCACTACTGCTCACCATTTATTGAATTCCTACTTTACTCTGGCTCTACTCTGGGCCACATTTTAGTTGATTGACATATCTTTTAATTTAAAGCTCTTTCACCTGCTAATTAGAAGGCTAGGTTAATTGGTAAAGCCATAATGAAACACATTAGCAGACTCAGAGTTCATTCAAGCATTCATTTCTACCTCCTGCCCATTCAACCTACTATCAATGACTAATACTCCCTTCTCCATGCCTCAGTTTGTATTTCTGTGGAGCTATTAATGAGTAAGGAGAGGCCATGGGAGGCCGTTAGGGAGGACTAAGGGGAGAAAGAGGAGGACAGGGGATATAGGGGTCAGCAGTCAAGGGCATGGGTACTCTACAAACCAGGTCATCCATCTTGCATGTCCCCAAGTGGATGTCCCAATTACTTAAGGCATTTTAGGTTCAAAGATCTGTCAAGACACTTTTTTTTTTCTAAAGAAGCTGCTGTATGCCCTATATCTGTCTTGTTTCTCAGCAGGAGATAATGATGTATGGTGCATAAATCTTTTCAGAGTGCCAATTAATGCCTGGACTGCTTCTTTGAAGTGATTTGAGTACTGATTCCTCAGGCTGGCTTCTGCTTAGAAGCCAGGGGAGGAGCTTCTCCTTTGGCTTTGTGAACTCCAGTCAGCTGAGAGTCAAGGCTGGAGAAATGCTGCTTTTTCAGATGACTGGTTTTCCAGGCAAACCTGCCTTGTCAGTAACAAGGGAAGCCATGCTGGATTTTAGTTATACTTATAGGGAAGGACCCTATTAATCAAAAGCCTAATCAGCTGGCTCTTGGATATGATCGTGAGTGTGACCATATAATTTATTGTCTAATCTAGGACACTTTGAGTCTGAAAAGAAGAGCACTATTAATAATTATGTCAGGAGAACAGGTGTAAATCGGGACTGTCCCTGACAAACCAGGACATATGGTTACCCTAAAGTAATATATTAACTTTATCAATTAATTCTTAGGAGTCTGTGGAATAGGCTCACTCCACATATCATATTCTTCAGAGGAAAGAAGGTCTGTCAACCTCCTACATGCTCTTGCTCTCTGTGTAGA